CGAGTACTGTTCTGAAGGACATACCATTGGAACAGCTTTGAATTGTTTCTGGAAGTAACATCATCAATATATCTGTGAAATTCAGCTTCATGATTTTTCTTTCTGGCGATTAACTTTTTTAAAAACATTTCTTGTGATCATACGAATTTAAAAATAAATCAGCTTGTAATTGTTTTATGAAGCAGTTTTAATTGCTGTAATGGTTTGTATATACTAGCATTACATTGTTACGGTTAATAATTTGCACCATTGGAATACTAAAGATTTGTTTGAACACATGTCCTTCAAACTTCACAAATATGTTGTCAAGAAATGCGAGCATATTGACAATATCATTCTCACTATATCATACCTTATTAGAATTCGTTACCTCCTCGACGAATTAAGTTTTAATGTAACCATCTTGCGAAAAAAGATTTGATGAATAACATTTCTCAACTAAAATTTCAGTTTTTTCTTGTGGAATTGTGATGTACAATGGCGACACATTAAATGTTTCAATTGATGCAATGTTCGAAAGTGATCTGCACTTTAAATTATTCGAAAATTCTTTGAAATTATCTACCTCTAATTAATATAATGTATTGAAAAACAAACGGTAGCATAATGTTATGCCAGCCTGTCCTTTACACCAGATAGGGTGTACTCAATTCAGGAGTGTTCGTGTGGTGGTATATTCTTTCAAAAATGTGAACACGCATGGATATAATGAAGTAATCTGCATAATTGAATATTGGGCACCGAAGTTTTAGCCGAGTGCTTAAAGTGCCAGGATACCCTTGCCCCCTCCCACATACACGTTGCATACGTGCTTTCTTGTGGCGCGGAAGTCAGTATTTGTTTCATCTTAGGGATATCACTCATTGTAGGCGTCATTGTGATGATAACATAATCATCCCGAGCAAGCAAGCATCGATCAAAATAGCTGAATTATACTCCAAGTGAAAAAATAACATTGTTGTATAGCTGTCATCGAAGCCAACGATCTCGTCCTGCGCTATAAAAGGCCGGACTTTCAGATTGTCGAAAAACGTGATTTGTCCTTAATGGCTTTAGTAAAAGATGAATAAAGATAATAATAAGTGGTGCAAACATATGGTTGATATGACATGGTATAATCTGCCTACATGGTTTGGCCATAAAAACCACCCCGTACACCGTCATCCCTTTTAACTATCCGATAGATGATGAGTCTGATACCGTTAGGTGTTGGTCGTTATAAACTCAGGGAAAAAGATCGAAACGGTAGCAAAAAATCATGTATTATTTGTTATATATTTTTTTTATTTGTTTATTCATTTCGCTGTTCTATCAAATATGTGCTTGTGTGTTTTATAAATATTTTTTATTCTGTAATTTTCCTTTGGATATTTTTTTAGTTTTTTAAAAATGTTCTCTGCTCACAATACTATCATTAGTTTATTAGTTTTGACGATAGAATACAATGTATTTTTTTTAAAAAAGTCTGCATACCTGCTACATAGCGAATGAGTTGGGGGAAATTTCTACCAAACAGCTAAAAGAAAGTGGAACATTGCTGTAAATGTTTCATGCCTCGTGACATATTGCTTGGTAGAAAGCTAACCCTTATCAAAATTCAGGGCACATATCTAAGTATGAAGAAAAAAAACATATTCTGTAGTCTCCTCAATCTAATTGGATACGATTCTACTTAAATTTGTTAGGAACAAAACTGAATATAATAATCGAAATATAACCCGTGAATTTAGTATTGTTGATGTGAAAGTACGTCATCAATATATGTGAAAGATTTAGCCACATTGTGCCTTTTGTTATAACTAATATCTGCAGAAATTCAGCTTCATGCGAGTAAAGGAATAAATCTACCAAGCAGGGGAGCACAAATTGAATGCCGAAACAAACTCGGACAAATATGTTAATAATTCAAGCATACTGACAATATTACTTGCAGTGTAGACAAGTTTTGCATCAGACTTGTTCCTAACAAAGTAATTAGAATCGTATATATATTTGTAGTGAATAGATAAAAATGTTTGATTGATAATGTTTTAAATCTTTTCACCACAAGACTTTCTCTCCCAAAATTTTTCTGCACTTTTTTCTTGTACTCTTCAATATTTCTGTAAATGAACCCTAATTTTGGAGCCAACAGACAAAATTTGATTCAATTTTCAGTTTTTACACAAACAATGTGGCTATTTTTGTCTCAATCTTCTGAATGAGAGTGCAGACTATAAACAGGAGGGAACTCGTAGTAAAACTATTAATGCATAATTTGCCATGTGGCATAGTAGTATATAAGGTAGACTGCGGGGAATTCGGATGAAGAATTAGAAGGCACTCGACGATCAAAACGAAGGTGGACATTGGTAGTCTTTGAATCAAATTGATAGCCCCAATTGTTCAAATTAACCATGTTATATATTAGCATCACATCTGATCATCAGATCATCAGTTTAGTTTTGGCTTTGTTGGTTAGTTCTACTATTATTAGACTTACCTTTATTGTGTCTATGATTTAAGACATACTGTAGGCCTAATCCTGAGACTGTAACAGCGATAAAATACCAGGCCGAAATCCCAGGATGATATTCACTTTTTAAGCCCGTTATGGACCATGACGTATGGAGCAATTCCGTCATGAAGGGTGACATTTTGATCCTGCACCCAATCTTTATCTTCGTTGTAATTAAGTAACCCCCACAAATAACAAAGAATAACATGATAGTCTCACCTTTCTGTGCCTCAAAAGTGGATATTTGGGTATTTCAAACCCTTTCTGAGTTCGGATGGCAGTATGTTTTTAGTGTAAATGAATATCTTTTTTAACTTAATTGTGTCGTCAATAAGGGCCAGGGTTATAAATGTAATGGCCTTCCCACATTTGAGGGGATAATTTGAAATCTTGGTACGAGCATAGGTACCCCAAAAGTTCCTGAGTGAGGGAGCCGAGTCTTTCAGCTCATGCTTTCTAAAGTTTAGTTTTGTGGGTTTTCTGGAATAAG